ATACAGGGCAGATCCCTTTCACACCCATCCCAGCACTTCCATGTGCCTATCCAACTTCGTCTTGAAGCTCCCTAGCGTCCCCGATCCTACTATAGCACTCGGTAGCCTATTCCACATATCCACAACTCTATTACCAAACCAGTGCTTGCCTATATCCTTTCTGAATCGGAATTTATCTAATTTAAAGCCATTTGTTCTAGTTATTTCGTTATTACTGAGCTTCAGAACATCTTCCATTTTACCCTTGTTAATCCCACTTACCCACTTGAACACCTCTATCATATCTCCCCTAACTCTACGCCTCTCTAATGAATGCAAGCCTAAGCTTTTCAGTCTTTCTTCATATGGAAGGTTTCTAATATTATGGATCATTTTTGTCATTCTTCTTTGTACTCTCTCCAAAGAATCTATGTCCATTCTATAATAAGGACACCAGAATTGAACCGCATAATCCATGTGTGGCCTCACTAATGCTAGGTAAAGTTTCAAGATAACGTCAGCAGTTCTGTTACTCACACTCCTAGATATGAACCCAAGAATCCTGTTTGCCTTGTTGAGAACGCTAATACATTGTTTTCTAGGTTTCAAGTCGTTGCTAACAAATACACCTAGATCTTTTTCACAATCTGAGTTTTCTATTTCCGTGTTACCTAGTTTATACTTAACGTTTGTATTCGTCTTCCCTATCTGTAGTACCTTGCATTTATCAGTATTAAAATTCATTTGCCAGTCTACTGACCACTCATGTAAGGTATCTAGATCTCTTTGAAGGTGTTCAAAGTCACTGTCTGAATTTATCACTCTCCCCATTTTGGTATCATCTGCAAATTTACTAATCCTACTAGTTATACCTAAATCAAGATCATTAATGAATATAACAAACAGCAGAGGGCCTAATACAGATCCCTGGGGAACTCCGCTTTTGACCGCACCCCAGTCTGACTTAAATCCATTTATGCTGACTCTTTGTTTCCTACCAGTTAACCATGACCTAATCCATTTTAATAATGATCCACCTATTCCATGTGCTTCTACCTTCCTTATCAATCTCTCATGAGGGACTCTATCGAATGCTTTACTGAAATCTAAATAAATTATATCATATGACTTATCATTATCTACCGCTTCATATACTTCTGAGAAAAAGCTAAGCAAATTTGTGAGACAAGAACGTCCCTGGGTGAACCCGTGCTGAGAAGAATGAATTAAGTTGAATGTTTCAAGGTGGCTTTTGATTTTTGTAGCAATAATTGACTCTAGCAATTTGCCTATGATTGACGTGAGACTAATGGGACGGTAATTTGATGCAATTGATTTATCACCTTTTTTGAAAATCGGAACTACATTTGCATGTTTCCAAGCTTCTGGCACTAGGCCCGATTCTAATGACTTATTAAATAAAACTGCTAATGGATTACTCAACTCATCTCTACATTCTTTTAATATTCTAGCATATACCTCGTCTGGACCAGGCGATTTATGAGGCTTCAGTTTGTTAATTTCTTTAAGCACATCGTTACTAGTAATATTGATATTCATCAACATATTTTCTATACTGTCGTTATATACCTTATGAACTTCTGGAAACTGTGCTAGGTTTTCATTTGTGAATACGGAGCGAAAATGACTATTTAACGTACTACACATTTCTAACTCATCATCAGTCATTTCTCCTGTCGTAGTTTTAAGGGGACCTATTGTATCTCTAACCTTTGATTTATACAGTTGATAAAAAGCTTTGGGGTTATTTTTCGATTCGTTTGCTACCTTGATTTAATTTTCCCTACTTTCACCTATGTCCTATTATTCATCCATTTTGTTGACACTTGTATCCACCTCGAGCTGGTAGACCGTCCATAGGTCACCAGCCTCTGTGTCAAGAAGTATTTCCTTATATTTGTTCTGTATGATAACTTGACCAGCTTGTAGTTATGTCCTCGTGTTGGTGGTGACATCACAGATACAGTCAATGTCTCGGGTTCATGTCTTCCATCACTTAAAGGATTGTGAATATTTCAGTGAGATCTGTCCTGTTGTGTCTTGTCTGAAGGGCTAGTCCTAAGGCCATCAGTCTACTTGGGTAATCCAGATGACATAGTTCAGGATCATCTTAGTCCTCTGTGTTGTATCTTTTCTAGGATGTTGAGCCTTTCTGGAAGTAGAGTTTCTGGTCTGTGTACAGTAATACAGACTGGGACGCACGTGAGATCTGTACAGTTGAAGGGCATTTTCCTGTCTGTATTTGAAGGTACGCTTTATAATTTCCACTTCTGTTTTGCTTTTCGCTGCTGCCCCACTTGTTGCCACACACACACACACACACACACACACACACACACACACACACACACACACACACACACGTGACTCACACACCTGGTTGAGGATCTACCTGGGCTGGGGACCTGTTGTGTTGGAGTGGTTCTCTCACCCAAAGGCTTGAGAGTGTTGTCTGTCTGTCTGTCTCTCTCTGTATATTTGTCTGTGTCTGTCTGTCTGTGTATCTGCCTCTATTTCTCTGCCTTTCTATTTGTCTGTCTATTTTTTTCTCTCTTTTTTCTGTCTGTCAGGCTTGTAAGTACTTTGTCATTAGTCTTTCTGCATATGTGTATTTCTGTCCGTATCTGTCTATTTATATATTTTAAAGTGATTATTACTGCTCTCATAAGCAGACTGGAACCTAAATTTAACTACACTATGTTAAGCTAATCGTAAGTTCAACACCGTTACAGTGTTAAAAAAATACTTACATGTGAAATCTAACATCATCTTAAGCAATAATTGGATATTTGAGATCCTGTTAAATCAGTCGCGGACGGCCGAGTACAAAAGGGACACAGACTATCTTGTTCTTTGTCATATTGTTCTAATAATAATAATAATAACAGTGGCAGTGACAGAAATAATAGTAATAAACAATAATAATAATAATATCTTTGCCCCTAAATCACTTTTATTACTTTTCATCAACACCCAGTAAGAGAAATTTTGTCATACCTGAAGACAAGACAATCAACCCGACACCTGTGCCAAGAGGGACAAATAATACACACACACACACACACACACACACACACACACACACACACACACACACACACACACACAGATAATGTCCTCCAGGTAATCGTCTCTCTTCTGGTCAGTATTTAAAGAAACCTGAATTCCAACACCTCCTGCCTTAGAGTCTATAGTCCTGTTTTACTTAACACAGAGAGTTAGATTAAATCCAGAGGCCATAAATCTTGGTGAACGCGGCCTCTAGGAGGAGTGGATCTCGTGTAAACACTGGCTTGTGGGAACGTTTAGACAATGGACTGAACATACTTCCATACTAGAACCAAACAATTAGAACCCATACAATGATGAGAAGGAAAAACCTAACCTAACCTAACCCAACCTAACCTAACCTAACCCAACCTAACCTAAGCTAACCCATCCAGTGACGTGAGAGAAATAAAGAAAAAATCTATATAAATCTAATTAGGTATTGCAGTTTGTTTATAGTTGCATGGAAGACTCTCTTAGCATTGTTTGAGTTACGTAGATTTACTCAGGACAAGGGAGAGCCGTTACTGAAGGCTCCGATCTTACACGTTACAACACCATCTTAGGAAACGCGTGTCAGGTGCAGCCGCATTATCTTAGTTTTGATCCAAAATACAATATATAACAAGAAAAAATAATAATACGTTTGCTCAACTTTAAGACTCTACCTTAACTAGATACCTTCACGTAACACTGAGACTCTACCTTAACTAGATACCTTCACGTAACACTGAGACTCTACCTTAACTAGATACCTTCACGTAACACTGAGACTCTACCTTAACTAGATACCTTCACTTAACACTGAGACTCTACCTTAACTAGATACCTTCACTTAACACTGAGACTCTACCTTAACTAGATACCTTCACGTAACACTGAGACTCTACCTTAACTAGATACCTTCACTTAACACTGAGACCCTACCTTAACTAGATACCTTGACCTAACACTGAGACTCTACCTTAACTAGATACCTTCACTTAACACTGAGACTCTACCTTAACTAGATACCTTCACTTAACACTGAGACTCTACCTTAACTAGATACCTTCACTTAACACTGAGACTCTACCTTAACTAGATACCTTCACGTAATACCAATTATGAGACAAAATTAAGTGATATTATTATTATTATTATTATTATTATTATTATTATTATTATTATTATTATTATTATTATTATTATTATTATTATTATTGTATATGTTCCATCTCCTCATCTAACCCTTTATTACACACAGTAAGCAATTGCATAGAACATACATACATACATACATACATACATACACACAATACAGTACTTGCACCTAATTCATACAGTACTTATATATCTTTCTCATCAGATGTGATTTCACCCAAAAATCCTCAATATTTTGTGAGTATTTTAACCATTTTTATAAATTTCTTCTAAAAACAAGGATTAAAAAAACAACATCATCAACAATAAAAATTTTACTGATTTATTTTCCATAGAAATAAATTAAACAGAAATTACCACAGTCCCCCACATGGAAGAAATTGAGACCAGTAATAATTCTAAACTACAATATTTCCCAAATTTGGTTCCGTCTGAGAAAGAGAGTGTGAGAGAGAGACCGATTTCTCACTCACTTTTCTCACATTACAAGACACATAATTATTATAGTATTATATCCAGGGAAAAGAATATATAGTGTTATTGTGTATTAAGGATACATGTGTGTGTGTGTGTGTGTGTGTGTGTGTGTGTGTGTGTGTGTGTGTGTGTGTGTGTGTGTGTGTGTGTTTTTACCCTATTATTCCTTCCCCGACCTATATTTTTTCACAATCCCTGATCTCCCATTTATACACTAACCCCTCACCCTTATCTCCCCATCTCCCTTCAATCCCTCCTCTAAATCCTCATCAGAAGCCCTATCTCGCCTCTATAAACCCAAACAACCCCCGTATCCCCCTCCACCCCCCCAGTCCACCCCCCCCCAAAGAAAAATACCCCCACTATTCAAAAAGTCCTTAGGATTCTGTCAAGGGAGGGTCCTTTCCTTCTGTCTCAAGGCATCCTTATTTGCCTAACTCTAAGGGAAAGGTCGGAGCTTCTTCTTCAGGAGCGAAAACCGGGGCAGAAGGGGAGTGGAACGAGGCAGCGGCTGGGGGAAGGTGGACAGGAACAGCAGAGTCCAGCAGGCGGAGGTTTGGTCCGTTCAGGGCTTCTGCTGCAGGGCGATCCTTACACTTCTCCTGTAGGTGGTGGAAAGGTGTTACATCACTCTAACGCTGATAATAGTAATAGATAACACTTATAATTTTCCCAGTAATAGCTAGCTAGCAGTTTTGATGTTCCTAGTGGTAATATTTAACATTTTAATGCTCCTAGTGGTAATACCCAAAAGTCTAAAGTTGCTAAAATTAACACACTCTCTCTCTCTCTCTCTCTCTCTCTCTCTCTCTCCATCAGCACCATCCCCACAGTCAAAGAAGCCGTCACAAACGAATCTGTTTGGTATACACTCTGGGGGGTCGCTGTTACGGCAGAAGAAGTCTCCGGGATTACAGCTCTTCTCCGTGGCCATTCCCAGGGTCTCTGTGGGAAGGAAAAGGGAATATAATTAAACACTCGATAATGATGTAACGACGATATTGTGGGGATAAGTCACACCCAATTTATTTAACCTAACCTAACCTCCCTGATGTTAACTTTACCGAGACTTTCCTGACCTGACGTAATAAAATTTAACCTAACCTAACTTCCTTGATGTTAACTTTACAGAGACTTTCCTGACCTGACGTAATAAAATTTAACCTAAACTAACCTAACTTGACGTAAACTAATCTAACCTACACAAAGCTAACCTAGCCTAAACTTAACTAACCTAGTCTCACCTAACCTAACCAAACTCACACGCCCACAGGTAACGCCGTGGGAGGGGGGGAGGAGGGGGGTAATCAGCAGGTGAAATAAGCTGTGTGTAAATCTTGAGAAGACTCGATAACTGCTCCTTTATTATGAGCTAAAGAAAGATACCTACACGTGTTGGTACTGTCAGCAGGTGTTGGTACTGTCAGCAGGTGTTGGTACTGTCAACAGGTGTTGGTACTGTCAACAGGTGTAGGTACTGTCAGCAGGTGTTGGTACTGTCAACAAGTGTAGGTACTGTCAGCAGGTGTTGGTACTGTCAGCAGGTGTTGGTACTGTCAGCAGGTGTTGGTACCGTCAACAGGTGTAGGTGCTGTCAGCAGGTGTTGGTACTGTCAGCAGGTGTTGGTACTGTCAACAAGTGTAGGTACTGTCAGCAGGTGTTGGTACTGTCAGCAGGTGTTGGTACTGTCAGCAGTGTGGTAGGTACTTGCCAGCAGGTGTCTATATATTATCAGCAGGTGCTGGTACTGTCAGCAAGTGTAGGTACCTGTCAGCAGGTGTTCGTATTATCAGCAGGTGCTGGTACTGTCACAGGTGTAGGTGCTGAGCAGGTGTGCAGATGTAGGTACTGGTCAGCAGGTTTAGTTAATATCACCAGGTATTGGTATTATCAGCAGGTGTAGGTACTCGTCAGCAGTTGTAGGTACTGTCAGTAGGTGTAGGTACCGTCAGCAGTTGTAGGTACTACCAGTGGGGTGTACTGTACCGTCAGCAGTTGTAGGTACCGTCAGTAGGTGTAGGTACCGTCAGCAGTTGTAGGTACCGGTCAGTAGGTTTAGGTACTGTCAGCAGTTGTAGATATTGCCATCGTCAGTTGCGGTGTAATATACCGTCAAAGGCTGGCGGCAGGTACTCGCCAGGCAGGTGTAGGTACTGTCAGCAGTTGTAGGTACTTCGTCAGTAGTTGTGGTGGCACTGGGTCAGCAGTTATAGGTACCGGTCAGCAGGTGCAGATACTGTCAGGTGTGTGTAGGTACTGTCAGTAGGTGTAGATACTACAAATAGCAGGTGTAGGTACTGCCAGCAGGTGTAGGCATGGGTCAGTAAAATGTAGGTACTGTCAGTTGGTGTAGGTACTGTCAGTAAGTGTAGGTAATATCAGCTGGTGTAGGTACTGTCAGCAGGTTTAGGTACAATCACCAGGTATTGGTATTATTAGCAGATGTAGGTACTGTCAGCAGGTGTAGATACTGTCAGTAGGTACTGTCAGTAGATGTAGGTACTGTCAGCTGGTGTAGGTACTGTCAGCAGGTTTAGATACTATCATCAGGTATTGGTATTATCAGCAGGTGTAGGTACTGTCAGTAGATTTAGGTACTGTCAGCTGGTACTGTCGCTGGTGTAGGTACTGTCAGCTGGTACTGTCAGCTGGTGTAGGTACTGTCAGTAGGTACTGTCAGTAGATTTAGGTACTGTCAGCTGGTACTGTCGCTGGTGTAGGTACTGTCAGCTGGTGTAGGTACTGTCAGTAGGTACTGTCAGCTGGTGTAGGTACTGTCAGCTGGTACTGTCAGCTGGTGTAGGTACCTGTAATGATCGTGGAACACCGTATGGTAGAGTAACTTACCCCCAGCAACCAGGAGGAGGAGGCAGAAGGTGACGACTCTGGTGTTCATGGTGTTTACCTGTAACCGGAGACGCCCATTAGTACGAGAGAGAGAGAGAGAGAGAGAGAGAGAGAGAGAGAGACAGAGACAGAGAGATTATTCAGTAAAAAAAACACCAAGTTACATTGTTTCAACCAATACAAAAACAGTCAACTACTAAAGTTCATTTGGCTCTCCCCTGAACCACCAACCCCAAGAATCAGACTTGTGAACCTGAAGCAGTAGACTGATACATTATTCTATCTACAAATGCTTCGGATTCATGAGCCTGAATCTCGGTCTTCGTGGTTCAAGGTGATCACTAACTACATAAACAACTCCTAACAAGTGGTCTAAGTAGTTTGCTCTTCCACAGCCCTCTGATTGGTTTAGATATTGGTGATAATGACCAATAGAAAAAGGGATTAGTATTATTATTGCGTACTAGACATTGTAAAGTTGAATTTAGTTGAGTGTTGAGGTGTGTGTTGTGAGGTGAGCCCTAACCCAGTGTCTGTGTGATGGGATATTTTCCTTATTCGTGTATGTCCTCAGTACCCATTGTATGTATGTATGTATGTATGTATGTATGTATGTATGTATGTATGTATGTATGTATTATATGTATGTATGTATGTAATCAGAGGTAGTTACAAGGCAGACCAGTAAACTTGGTGTTATTATTCATCTTTGGACACAAGAGAAGTTTCATTTTGATTCAGGTGTGGACAGGAGCCGATTAACCTTGAGATGTCTTTACCTGTAGTGGGTGTGGGGCCCTCAGGTGTAGGTACACTTAGTACACAGGTGAATAACATAGTGTATCATGTGTTTGTATACATGATAGATAGATAGATAGATAGATATTCATTCTTAAATCGTCATACAGGTTCACAGTCTTTCACAATACACATAGACAGTGTGCGTATACATTGGTAAACAGTAAGTCATTTTAACCATGGACAACCCAAGAAATCTTATAACCGTTTATTATTTACGTAACTCCTTTATTACAAACTCTCCATTAAGTGATATAACTAATATAGATTGTTACAATTATCAGCTCGAGTAATTGCGTAGAGAAACACCGTTGTAATCATGATAAATTGTCGCTTGGAAGAATTGTTGTAGTTGACCCTTAAAATTGTTAAAGATTAAAAGAAAATGAAGTTCTGTACAGGGGAAACTATAAAAAAAAGAGCACCAGTGAGACACCTGTTCATTTATTAGGTGTTTGTTTTTAGAGATGAAAATCGTCATACAAGTTCACTTTGGTTCAGCCTTATACAGATAGTTGCAGGTGTACAGACAATGCAGGTGTACAGACAATGCAGGTAGACACACAATGAAAGGATTTCAATTTGCAGGTGACATTAGGCAACAAGATGATGATGTTCTGTATGTGTCGATGTAATAAGCTGTAGGAGACTTGAGTGAACTATTGTCTATGGTTACTTGCTGAGCCAATATGAACCACAACAAAAATAAAAAAACAACAACAACAAAATCAACAACTACATCAACAATAACAAACACAATGATAAGAACAAACAACAACAGCAACAATAACATAATCAACAACAATAATAACAACAACCACAACATCATCAACAACAAAAACAATAACAACAACAACAACAACAACAATAATATCAACAGCAACTACAACATCATCAACAACAAAGACATCAACAACAACAAAGACATTTAAACAAGGTCATTGCGGTCAGCACTATCATTCCCAGGTATTGCTTCACTCTCCCTCCCTCCCTCTCCCTCCCTCCCTCTCTCTCTCTCCCTCCTCCTCCCTCCTCTCCTCCCTCTCCCTCTATGCCTCTCTCTCCTCTCTCCCTCCTTCGGTTCCCTCTCTCTCCTCCCTCCCTCCTCTCTCTCTCCTCCTCTCTCCCTCCTTCTCTCTCTCTCCCTCCTCTCTCTCTCTCCCTCTCCTCTCCTCCCTCCTCCTCTCTCCCTCCTTCCAGTTCCCTCTCTCCCTCCCTCCCTCCCCTCCCTCTCTCCCTCCTCTCTCTCCCTCCCTCTCTCTCTCCCTCCTCCCTCTCTCCCTCCTCCTCCTCTCTCCCTCCTCTCTCTCTCCCTCCTCTCTCCCCCCTCCTTCCAGTTCCCCCCCCTCCCCCCTCCTCTTCCTCCCTCCCTCTCTCTCCCTCCCTCCTTCTCCCTCTCTCCCACCTTCTCTCTCTCGTCCTCCTCTCTCCCTCCTTCCAACCCTCCCTCCTCTCCCCAACTCTCCCCTTCTCCTCCTCCTCTCAACTCCTCCCTCCCTCCTCCTATCTCCCTCCCATCCATCCTCCTCTCTCCCTCCCCTCTCTCCCTCCCTCCTCCTGCTCCCCCCTCCTCCCTCCTCCTCCCTCTCAACTCCCCCCCCTCCTCCCTCCTCCCTATCTCCCCTCCCATTCATGCCTCCCCTCTCTCCCTCCTCCTCTCTACCCCAACTCTCCCCTTCTCCTCCTCCTCTCCTTTCTCCTCCCTCCTCCTATCTCCCTCCCATCCATACCTCCCCCTCTCCCTCCTCCTATCTCCCTCCCATCCGTACCTCCCTCTCTCCCTCTCCCTCCCTCCCTCTCTCCCTCCCTCTCCCTCTGTGTCGTAGTTACATTAATCAACCTAAACTCTTTGTCTTGCTGCGTGTTTGGCTCCTATACTGTAGTTTAGTTACCCCGTTAACTGAGTTCTTGGGTCGCACTTTCACTTATAGATTAAGGAAGAGAAAGTAACACTGTCGTAACTTACAATGACAAAGTAACACTGTGTCGTAACTTACCAATGACAAAGTAACACTGTGTCGTAACTTACAATGACAAAGTAACACTGTGTCGTAACTTACAATGACAAAGTAACACTGTGTCGTAACTTACAATGACAGAGTAACACTGTGTCGTAACTTACCAATGACAAAGTAACACTGTGTCGTAACTTACAATGACAAAGTAACACTGTGTCGTAACTTACCAATGACAAAGTAACACTGTGTCGTAACTTACCAATGACAAAGTAACACTGTGTCGTAACTTACAATGACAAAGTAACACTGTGTCGTAACTTACAATGACAAAGTAACACTGTGTCGTAACTTGCAATGACTAAATAACACTGTGTCGCAACTTACTATAACACAGAGAGAGAGAGAGAGAGAGAGAGAGAGAGAGAGAGAGAGAGAGATCAACACTGTGTCGTAAAGTCAGGTTTTGGTTAGGTTGGGTTAGGTTAGATCAGGTCAGTGTTATAGTGGTTGTCATTTGAACAATTCGTATAACAGCCCCTCCCCACCCCCATCCCCCCACCACCACACCACACCACCCTCCCCACCACCCTCCCCCACCACCACCACCACTCCCCTTTTTTTGGGTATTAATAAGTTGATCCGGTCAGGTAAGTTCTTGCATCACGAGGAGGAAATATCAAGTCAGGTATCTCTGGAAATTAGTACCTGTGAGGACAAAGTTTTAATATTTCCTCCAGGTATTCAATAACTACCTGAAGATTAGGTACCCCAGGTTATTTCCCTGCATGATTAAGTACACTAACCTAACTTAACACTATTCTAACTTAACCTCCTCCTGAATTTGGTACAATCAAGGCCCCTTCCCCCCAAGATACGTTTTCTATCGCCCTAAGTTAAGGCGAATAATAATAATAATTTAACGTAAAAACATTTGAGAATCGCGGCTAAAAAAAAAATAAAAATCCGGTTTTCTGTTTTAAAATTCAGACATGTTACCAAACTACAATCTGAGAGAATATAAATTTAACTTCCGAACTTTTGAGAATTTAAAATACGAGAAAAGTTTACGTAGAATTCAGATATTTAACAAAAAAAAAATACAATTCCTGATTATTCTAACTTTTCATAGGACTTGATTAATTTTATGATCGAATATATATCACAATGTTTCAATAATAACAGACGTATTTAAGAGTGGCACTAAGATTGGTCCATAAGGGTGGCACTAAGATTGGTTCATAAGGGTGGCACTAAGATTGGTCCATAAGGGTGGCACTAAGATTGGTTCATAAGGGTGGCACTAAGATTGGTGGTGGTGTGTGTGTGTGTGTGTGTGTGTGTGTGTGTGTGTGTGTGTGTGTGTGTGTGTGTGTGTGTGTGTGTGTGTGTGTGTGTGTGTGTGTGTGGGGTTGACCGCGTTCAGGTAGTTGTGTGTTTACCTCATTCTTCAAGTTTTAAGGTGGATAGAGATAAACCAAGATGGATAGAGGGATGGAGAGAATAGGGGGGGGTAGAGTGGAGGGTGAAGAAGGTGCGTGGAGAGGGAGGAGGTGTGGAGAGGGAGAGAGGTGTGTGAGAGAGGGAGGAGAGGTGTGTGGAGAAGGGAGAGGAGGTGTGTGGAGAGGGGAGGGAGGAGAGAGGTGTGTGGAGAGGGGGGAGAGGAGGTGTGTGGAGGGGGAGGAGGGGAGATGAAGGTGTGGAGAGGGGAGAGGGGAGGTGTGGAGAGGGAGGAAGGGAGGTGTGGGGAGGAGGAGGGAGGGGAGGTGGAGAGGGGGAGGGAGGAGATGTGGAGAGGGAGAGGGAGGAAGTGTGGAGAGGGAGAGGAGAGAGGTGTGTGGAGAGAGGGGAGGAGGAGGAAGTGTGAGAGAGGAGGAGGAGAGGTGTGTGGAGAGGGAGAGGAGGAGGTGTGTGGAGAGGGGAGGAGGAGGAGGTGTGTGGAGAGAGGGAGGGGAGGTGTGGAGGGAGAGAGGTGTGTGGAGAGAGGAGGGTGTGTGGAGAGGGAGAGGTGTGGTGGGGGAGGTGTGTGGAGAGAGGGTGTGTGGAGAGGGGGAGAGGGAGGGAGGAGGGTGTGTGGAGGAGGGAGGGGGGGTGTGTGGAGAGAGGGGGAGGAGGAGGGTGTGTGGTGGAGAGGAGAGGGGAGGTGTGGGAAGGGAAGGAGAGGTGTGTGGAGGAGGAGAGGTGTGGAGGGAGAGAGGGGTGTGTGGAGAGGGGAGAGGAGAGGTGTGTGGAGAGGGAGGGAGGAGATGTGTGGAGAGGGAGGAGAGGGTGTGGAGAGGGAGGGAGGGTGTGGAGAGGAGGAGGGAGAGGTGAGGTGGGGGGGGAGGGAGGTGTGTGGAGAGGGAGGAGGAGGTGCGTGGAGGGAGGGTATGGGGAGAGGTGCGTGGAGAGGGAGGAGGAGAGGTGCGTGGAGAGGGGAGGAGGAGGGTGTGTGGAGAGGGAGGAGGAGGTGTGTGGAGAGGGAGGGAGGGAGAGGGTGAAGGAGAGGAGGAGGAGAGGTGTGTGAAGAGGGAGGAGGAGGTGTGTGGAGAGGGAGAGGAGAGGTGTGTGGAGGGGAGGAGGAGGGTGAAGGAGAGGGAGGAGGGAGAGGTGTGTGGAGAGGGAGAGGAGGTGTGTGGAGAGGGGAGGAGGAGAGGTGTGTGGAGAGAGAGGAGAGGGTGTGTGGAGAGGAGGAGGGGGTGGGGAGGAGGAGGGAGGTGTGTGAAGAGGGAGAGGAGGGGGGTGTGTGGAGAGGGAGGAGGAGAGGTGTGGAGAGAGGGAGGAGGGGGGAGAGACAGCACAGTATATAGGTCACATAAGAATGACAGATCCTGTTTGGAGAAGTCCTGCCACTTCCTCCAAGTGGTTCTCAAATTCACGAAAAAATATATAATTTATTCAGAAATATTATTGGAAGTGCAGGTGGAGGTAAAGTACAGGTACAGGTGGAGGTAAAGTACAGGTACAGGTGGAGGTAAAGTACAGGTACAGGTGGAGGTAAAGTACAGGTGGAGGTAAGACAGGTACAGGTGGAGGTAAAGTACAGGTACAGGTGGAGGTAAAGTACAGGTAACAAACAGGGAGGTAAAGTACAGGTAAATAAACTGTCACTAAAATCATTATAACAAGTAGCACATAATATTGACTCGTTGATAATATTTACCATAAACAACAACATAAAAATGTATTTCAAATTTTGTCATAATTTCTTCCTCGTGTTAAATTTTTGGTAATTTTTCATTTTGTATCTGTATTTTTCTAGGTAAATTCATGTACTTATTTCACTGCCACCATCATTACTACCACCATTACTACTACTACTACCATTACTACCACCATCATTAGTACCACCATCATTACTACCATCACTACCGCCATCATTACCACAATTACCACCATCACTACCACCATTATTCTACCCCAACACTACCACCATTACTACCACCCACCACTACCACCATCTACTACCACCACCACTGCTACCACCATCACTACCACCACCACCACTGCTACCACCATCTTACTACCACCACCATTACTACCACCACCATTACCATCAACAGCACCATCATTACCACCATTACACCACCACCATCATACCACCATTACTACCACCACCATTACTAACACCTACCACCACCACCATTATCACCATCATTACCACCATTACTACCAGCATTACTACCACCACCATCATTACCACCACCATCATTACCACCACCTCCACCACCACAACCACACACCACCAAACCACCACAACCACACCACTACCACATTACTCCACCACCATCACCACCATCATTACTACCACACCACCACCACCATTACCACATCATTACCACCACCACCATCACTGCCACCACCATCATTACTACCATCACTACCACCACCATTACTACACCACCATTACTACCACCAAAACACAAAACCTACCCCACCATTACTACCACCACCATCACTGCCACCACCATCATTACCACTATTACTACCACCACCATCAGTACCACCACTATTACTACCACCACCATTACTACCACCACCATTACTGCCACCACCATCATTACTACCATCACTTACCACCACCACCACCATTACCACCACCATTACTCAAACCTTAATACCATACATTATGTTTCGCCACCGCAGTCACTGTGGTAAAGTGGTTACTGAACTGAACCAGCGACCCAAAGACCCCGGGGCCGAACTTTCACTGGCAGGAGCTAAGAGTGGAAAATGTTTGAGGAACAGATCAGAATCACCTTAAACTACCTAACCTTAGTTCATAAGATGATTAAAACGCCCTAATAGTAACCTAACCTAACCTAACCTAACCTAACCTTCAAAGTTATTCCGGAATCAATATTTGTTTTTTTCTTTCTCTTCAATAAGGTGTATCATTCTCTGACCTTTATGTGGGTTGTCTGTGTATCTTCCTGGTCTGGTTAGGTTAGGTTATTCTTTTTTGTTACACACACACACACACACACACACACACACACACACACACACACACACACACACACACACACACACACACATTCCATTCGAATCATTTCCCTATTTAGGTTCAACCTGTACCTGTGCCTCCCGAAGGTCTCCCGCTGTACTGTGTGTAAGAGGAAGTGAGGCGCTGTTGATGGTCTCTCTCTCTCTCTCTCTCTCTCTCTCTCTCTCTCTGTGACCGGTTATGAATGTCTGTGTACGAACGTGTGTGCATCTAGGTGTATGTCTGTATTATACGCATGACTGTATGTATGATTGTCGAGGTCACCCTGGGAGCTTGTATAGTCAATATTTAATGAGGCAATAATTTGTTTATCCGCCGACCATCTGGTAGCCTCCTTCTTCCTTCCTTCCCTTCTTCCTTCTTCCTTCCTTTCCTCCTTCTTTCTTCTTCCCTCCTTCCTTCTTCCTTCCCTCCTTCCTTCTTCCTTCGCTCCTTCTTCTTCCTCCTTCCTTCTCTTTCTCCTTCTTTCTGAACATGGCTAGTAGGATGGAGAAGCGAAGGAGAAGGAGGAATAGAAAAGAAGGAGATGACAGAGGAAACACAGAAGAATGTGGAGGAGAAGGGAGGAGCAGAAAGGAGGAGGAGGAGCAGAAGGAAGGAGGAGGGGGAGAGCAGAAGGAGGAGGGAGGGAGCAGGAGGAGGAGGAGGGAGGGAGAAGCAGAAGGAGGAGGGAGGAGGAGGTAGAAGCAGAAGGGGGAGGAGGAGGAAGTAGGAATGATCATTTACCTGAGGGTGAATTCGTTAAGCGACAGGTAACAGCATTAGGTACGTCTTACCTTGACATTTCTTCTTCTTCTTTTACGTCAACTTAATTATCAGTTATCTTCATTTTCCTCAATAAACTCGTTATCATTAGCATCAACTTATCATCCTGGTCATAATAGAGAGTTTGTTTACACCTGTATGCTATATACGCACTACCTGGGTACCCTCCCCCCTCCCCTTACCCCAAGTTAATTTCACTGATGATTATATACCCTAAAGTCTCTTAAGGGAGGTTAGGTTAGGTTAGGTTAGGTTAGGTTAGAGGGAGGGAGGGTTTGGTTATTGTTAGGGAAGGTTAAGGTAGGTTAGGTTAGGTCATGCTAGGTCATATTGTGTTTGGTTACGTTAGTGTTATGCTGGTTAGGTTAGGTTAGTGTTAGGTCAGGTTACGTCAGTGTTAGGTCAGGTCAGGTTAGGTTAGTTTGGTCAGTGTTAGTGAGGTTAATCTGAAGTTAAAATAATCTGGGGAGTAATCTTCATGTGGTCCACCTATACACTTTCCCTATCTGAACTTACACTCTGGCTCGAGCTCTCAGTCTCTGGCTTGGTGTGTCGGCATTTTGAAGTCAGTTGAGTTTGTCAACCCACCACAGAAAATGCTAACACAGGATGGTTCACTTGTACCGTGTGGAGTAATGCACTTCAGTAGCCTTCGTCAGCTGTCTTCAGGCACTCAGAGTGAAGTAATGTCTTTGATCGTCGAAACATCGTCATAATGAATCCCAGGTCAAAAAAACTTTGTAAATTAACATATGGGAACTTACCTTACAGTGCTAAGCGACTTCTACAGAGGACCACTAACTCACTACCTCAGTGTGTCGCGTTCACTGACTGGCGGGCAGAAGTGTTCGGTTAATATATATATGACTTGGTGACATGTTCCTAAGGATAAATTGCTACACACCACCTGTTAAGTTAGCCAGCCCTCAGAGTTAATGAATTAATCTTGCTTTATTTGAAAATATAACCTTACGATAATGAATACAATGTTGTAAAATGTAGTAAAAATTACACAAAGTAATGTAAATAATGATCTGTGAATCCCTTTGCTGCAACCATAAAATGAAAATGAAATATTCCACCAATGAGAGAGACTCACTCTCATGACATCACAGTTTCCAACAAGGAATGGGTGCAGCAAGGAGAGAGGAGAAAACCTGATTGGCCCGCACAGTCCATGACATCATCACCCTGACGGTGTTTCGTTGGCTCACTGACTAGATGACGCATACTCTTGGCTTCCGCATCTCGTGACGTCACCTCTTGCAAAGAGAGATGATGCACTCAGTCCTGTGGAGCCGTTTGATAATTATTCACTTAAAAAATATCTTCAAATTAATTACTTTTAAGAAATATGTAATGATAAGTTACCAGACCCCTTAACTCACTAGCCACTTAACCAATTGGTAGCGGGGATGGTAAGTGGTATGCAGGGTGGATAAGTGGTATGCAGGGAGCAGAGGTTAGTTACAAGGGCAGCTTTCAGATACAAATGCGTTGCTGTCACACATTAAGCACTGGTGATATTGGTAGACCAGAGCTTCTTCTTCTTCTTCTTCTTCTTCTTCTTCTTCTTCTTCTTCTTCTTCTTCTTCTTCTTCTTCTTCTTCTTCTTCTTCTTCTTCTTCTTCTTCTTCTTCTTCTTCTTCTTCTTCTTCTTCTTCTTCTTCTTCTTCTTCTTCTTCTTCTTCTTCTTCTTCTTCTTCTTCTTCTTCCTTTTCTTCTTCTTCTTCTTCTTCTTCTTCTTCTTCTTCTTCTTCTTCTTCTTCTTCTTCTTCTTCTTCTTCTTCTTCTTCTTCTTCTTCTTCTTCTTCTTCTTCTTCTTCTTCTTCTTCTTCTTCTTCTTCTTCTTCTTCTTCTTCTTCTTCTTCTTCTTCTTCTTCTTCTTCTTCTTCTTCTTCTTCTTCTTCTTCCTTCTTCTTCTTCTTCTTCTTCTTCTTCTTCTTCTTCTTCTTCTTCTTCTTCTTCTTCTTCTTCTTCTTCTTCTTCTTCTTCTTCTTCTTCTTCTTCTTCTTCTTCTTCTTCTTCTTCTTCTTCTTCTTCTTCTTTTCTTCTTCTTCTTCTTCTTCTTCTTCTTCTTCTTCTTCTTCTTCTTTCTTCTTCTTCTTCTTCTTCTTCTTCTTTTCTTCTTCTTCTTCTTCTTCTTCTTCTTCTTCTTCTTCTTCTTCTTCTTCTTCTTCTTCTTCTTCTTCTTCTTCTTCTTCTTCTTCTTCATTATTCTTCTTCTTCTTCTTCTTCTTCTTCTTCTTCTTCTTTCTTCTTCCTTCTTTCCTTCTTCTTCTTCTTCTTCTTCTTCTTCTTCTTCTTCTTCTTCTTCTTCTTCTTCTTCTTCTTCTTCTTCTTCTTCTTCTTCTTCTTCTTCTTCTTCTTCTTCTTCTTCTTCTTCTTCTTCTTCTTCTTCTTCGTCTTCTTCTTCTTCTTCTTCTTCTTCGTCTTCTTCTTCGTCTTCTTCTTCTTCTTCTTCTTCTTCTTCTTCTTCTTCTTCTTCTTCGTCTTCGTCTTCGTCTTCGTCTTCGTCTTGTCTTCTTCTTCTTCTTCTTCTTCTTCTTCTTCTTCTTCTTCTTCTTCTTCTTCTTCTTCTTCTTCTTCGTCTTCTTCTTCTTCTTCTTCTTCTTCTTCTTCTTCTTCTGAGATAAGAGAAAAATGGAAAAGGGAAAGGTGAGAGAAAACTGTTTAGAGGGTAGAAAAAGAACAAAGAGAGAGAAAGCGTAACATACCTTAACTCTCAGCACCTCCTCACTTTAAAGTAATGGAACATCCTCTCTCTCCTCTCTCTCCCCCCCCCCCCCCCTCTCTCTCTCTCTCTCTCTCTCTCTCTCAATTGTGACTCCTCGCCATACATATATAAATAGTCGCCCTCAACACACACACACACACACATATATAGACTTTCACTTACCCACACACATACATACGCACACACCATCCACCACACACCAAAACCGTAGTTATGCACATCAATACCGCCACCACTCCAGTGCAGGCTCCAGCAGTCAGTGGGTGCCCATCCTCTCCTGTTTGTGCAGTCTGCCAAACTCCTGGGTGTTACCATAGACCACAAACTGGACTGGAAGGTCCATGTAAACAAAACTATCAAGGCAGCCTCGTGCCGACTACGACGACTTAGGTCACTTGGGACACCCACGCCAGAGCTGAGGACCATCTACAACGCCTTTATTCTCCCCAAACTAACGTATGCGTCACCAGCCTGGTCGTCTTCTCTCAACTCCACCCAACAACGTCAGCTAGAGAAGGTACAGAAAAGGGCCTGCTGAATCATGCTCGGCGCAGACTACTCCGGCTACACCAACGCTCTCTCCACCCTGGAAATGCCATCCCTCAATGACCTAGGCGTGAATTTGTTGTAGAAGCTGTCGCCAACACAACAACCACACCCTGATTTAACGAGTTGCATGACCCAGTGTCAAGGAATAGTCCGAGAAGACCGGATAACTCGCCAACCGCACTGGCTAACCATTACCCCGGGACACGATCCGCAAGTCGATTAACATTTAGTCCCCAATTACTGCTGGGTAGACAGAGACAAATGGCGTAAAGAAACATGCCCATAGTTTCACCCTGCCCGGAGATCGAACCCGGGTCCGCTCGCTTGCGAGTCGAGCATGCTGACCATTACACCACAGATACACACGTACACCTACATATGGAAACACACACACACACACACACAGCACCATCCCATCTATTGTTAAAATAATAAACAACTCCTGATTTATGTACTGTACAGCCCTGTAAATGTATTCAATGCATTTTATATCATTATGTCTAAATCAAATGTAAGTGTATATTTTCAGCCACCGGCTGCAACTCTATTAATAAACCGTTTATTATTATTATTATTATTATTATTATTATTATTATTATTATTATTATTATTATTATTATTATTATTATTATTATTATTATTATTATTATTATTATTATTATTATTATTATTATTATTACACTGAGCACACTCAAGTATCCTAGAAATGTAGTTTACTTGGTTCTGCTCAGTGACAGAAATTATCTCGGAGAAGCAATCATGAAAAATGACCCTCCCCGCCAGATTATTTCGTCACGGAACAGCCACCCCTAACTCCCTGAAGGGGTTAAGTTAGAGATAGATTGGAGTTAGGTTAGGTTAGGTTAGGTTAAGTTAGGTTAGGTTAGCATTCAAATAGTTATTCACAAGACACAAGGAGCTGGGTGGAGTGGGGGCTAATCTTTTGTTTATCCGTAGAGAAAATTATTTAGTACTTTGAGAGTAAACAGCGTGTAGTCTTCTCTCCCCTACACACACAGACAGACATACACACACAGACATACACACACACAGACACACACACACACACACGGTGAAACTTGCGTCTGAATCATCACTCCCGGATGTCCCTCCCTCTCTCCCTCCCTCCTCCCTCCCTCCCTCCCTCTCTTTCTCCCTCCCTTGTTTCTTTCCGTCCTGCCCAGTTCTTTGTCTCTCCCTTCCTCCCCCTCCGTCCCACCACCAGCCAGATATGTGGAACCGGTTTTTATTTACCTAATATTATCTTCCTCACATTTTTGTCTTCATCACTATCTTTTTGTATCAGTTAGCCATTTATTTACCTCCGTTTTCTTTAATTCTCTTATATACCTCCGTTTTCTTTTATTCGCATTGCTGGATTTGTTTTCCTAGTATATCTCATGTCAGGAATAACACAAGAGGGAGCACCACGTTCGACCATCCTGTATTTAGTTAGGTAAAGGAGTGTCGTTTCTTGGTATTGGACAAGAAGGTCGCTACTTTGTCCTCAGAGGTCGAATGCATTGTGAATCTTGACTCATGTTTAGTTTAGGTGATGATTGTATTGTAAGACAAAGGAAGGATAGAGAGGGAGAGATAGATTGAACGTGGGTTTAAGCTTTAACCTTTTAAGGACGAGCGTTTAAGCTTTATGGAATAGGGTTTAAACTTAGAGGATGAGGGTTTAATCATTAGCCTTTTAAGGATGAGGGGTTAAGCTTTTAGGGCGTGGTTTAAGATTAAGGACGAGGAATTACGATTTTAGGACGTGTGTTTAAGCTTTAAGGACGAGTTTTAAAGCATTAATCCTTTATAAACAAGGGTTTAAGTTTAAGCATTAATGACGTAGGTTTAAACTTTAAGGATGAGATTTTAAGCTTTAAGGACGAGTTTTAAAGCATTAATCCTTTATGAACGAGGGTTTAGCTTTAAGGAGGTGTGTGTATGTGTCCTCACCCTAAAGCTTTATGAGGGATAGTAAATATAAAAGGTTATGATCTCAAGCTTTATTTCTAAGTCAAGAACTAAAAGTAAAAAAAAAAAGATAACCCAATATGACTAATTATTATTATCATCATCGTCATTATTTTATGATTATTATTAATAATATTATTGTTATATATAATTATTATTATTATTATTATTATTATTATTATTATTTTTGTTATATATAATTATTATTATTATTATTATTATTATTATTATTATTATTATTATTATTATTATTATTATTATTTTCATTATTATTATTATTATTATTATTATTATTATTATTATTATTATTATTATTATTATTTTTGTTATATATAAAATTTATTATTATTATTATTATTATTATTATTATTATTATTATTATTACTATTATTATTATTTGTTGTTGTTATTTATTTGTTGTTGTTGTTATTTTATTATTATTATTAAATTCTTCATCATCATCATCATCATTATTATTATTATTATTATTAATGTTTATTATTGTTGTTGTTTTGTTATTATTATTATTATTATTATTATTATTATTATTATTATTATTATTATTATTATTATTATTATTATTATTATTA